CACTAGCACAATAAACACTTTCTATATCATTTATTTTTTGCTTCCTTCCAATTTCAATTCACTTTTTTACTTTTTAGATTATTCTCACTTTTTGCGTATTCTTTAATTTCCGTTAATTTAAATTCAGTTGAGTTTGACACTTTTCAGGATTTTTCCAGAAAAAATTCTTCTGATTAAATTTGATTACTTCGGACTGATGAGAGTCACTCTCACTGAGTGCTGCTCTCTCATTTTTGCTGTCATTTCCGAGTTAAGGAACGCTTTTTGGACTAAGGGCCGGTTGTTTAATGTCTGGTTATCACTACTTGCCGGTTAAACATCATTATCGACGATTTCGACAGCATGCATATAACATGTGATCGATAAAGCAGTCGTTGTATCTAACCGGAGCTTCTACCTCCGATTTGTGCTAATCAGACATTGAACAACCGGCCCTTAATCTGACTACTTCGAACTTTTTCTGACTATTACTGGGAGATAAGGAACGCTCCTATTGCTACGTTGGTGTGCATGTAGGCAGCGGTACAGCGGAAGATCTGCAAAGAAAATGTTTCCTTTGACTCTGTACCAGGGTAGCCAAATCATTTTTGAGAATTCCCTGATTTCGACAACGAAATTCCCCGATTTTGCCTGAAATTTCGTAAAATTCCCCACCTATACTAGATATCTCCTTATTTACAAAAAAAAGCCTTCTGTATGGATTTTGATATATTGCCGGTCTTTCTGTTTTATTTAAAGTCAGTTAACAAATAAAGAACAAAACATGTGCATATAATGTTTACATACATACAGTGGTCGAAAACATTTTGGTCGCCCCAAATTTTTACATGTTTTCACAATTATTATTTTTTGTTTGTTCTTTATTTAAGTTACTTTACTACTTATAATAAAGTGCAATATTCAAGTGGCTAAAAATTTTCCTTCTAGAATTTTTTACCGCCAACTTTTTGAAAATATTCAATATTTGACTCTTTTTGAAAATTCGTGCGACTTTTGGCTCCTTTTCACTTTGAACGCGTTTAATATTTTTAAGCTTTTCCTGAAAGATGTTGAAAGTTTCATCGTCCTTAGTTTCTTTCTACATCGGTAATCCTTACCGTCTTAAAAATTGCACGTCTGACCATGGGCGTAGCCAGGTAGGGGCTGGGGGGTGCTCGAGCACCCCTAACTTTAAAATTTTCCTTATATATATATATAAAATAGAACCCTGAAATGCCAGCTTAATAGGGTCGAATAGGGGCTCGACCCCCTCCCCCCCCTAGACTTTGAAGTTTACCTTATATGTAGGTATACAATCTTCGATTATTACCGCAGCGACCACAAAAATGCAGTTGCCAATACAGCAACTCAGTTGCCAGCGTGCAGTTGCCATCTGTAAAAATATTTCAGCCAGTAGCCACCCAACTGAAGTTCGGTTGCCATAAGCCTAAGTCGGCTCAGCTCGATGTTCTGGTCACATACATAAGTACACATTTTCATGAGTCTATCTCTTCTTAATCTTGTACTTACAAATATTGGACCAAAGTTATAATACCATTTAATGCTCATGAAGGGTATAGTTTTCAGATTTCAAATCGGTGAAGTAGGTAACAAAATATAAATTTAAACATTTTCTTAACTTCTTCCCAGCGTATCTATTAAAAAGTCATTTTCAAAAATTGCATGCATTGCTATGCCATGTCATTCCATCTCAAACATACTGTTATAGCATGTCATTACTTCTTAGCTCAACTGTTGTTTGCTGTTGTGTTTCTGCAGCATATTTTTAATACTGTTTATTATTAGAAATGAAAAAATTAATTTCATTATTATTCTATTGTACGTAACATATACTACGTTTGTACGTAAGCTATTTGCAAATAAAAATAATTTGCAAATACCTAACTCACTGTTTATTCGATGGTGAAAAAATCTTTTTTAATATTGCCTGATTATAAAAAGGCAATAATATGACCATCGAAAAAGAAAAGTTAAAAATGGCAACGTCTTGATTATAAAAAGGCAACAAGACGACCATCGAAAAATAAAATAAACCTAATAATGGCGGCGTCTTGCGCTTATTTGCAAATGGTACCACTAATCAATACTTATTTGAGTGATTTAGTTATTTGCAAATAAAAAAATTAACTCAGCGTTTATACGGCAAAGTTTACCATTTTGCAAATAGTTATTTGCAAATAATACGTGCGTTAAACGTAGTAATATATATAAAAGAAAATCCAAGATCCCTTTGCCGAGATTTTCAAAATCTGGTTTTAGGTCAGTTAAAGTCGTTCGTAACAATTCGGTTAAATGTTGGATCGTCAATAGGTACGTTCTTTTAAAATCTCAAGTAAAAAATGTCCAACAGCGAGATTCCGGCGAAATGTCATCTGTTAACTCACAAGAGCAAAATATCCAAAATAGTTTGCGAACAGAAAACTTACAGAAACTTGCAAGTTAGACGAACATCTGATAGAAATTTTGTTTACATTCAAAAGTGTAAAATTGAAAACGTAAGAAAACCAGTTCCGAAGTCTTATCCTGACACAGTTCATTGTACATGTACATATTACAGAGACTCACAGTTATACGTTGTACCAAAAATTTAAATTATACGGCACGCAGCGGTTTTCAACAGCGGATATTTTAAATCTGGTACTTGTTGCCAGAATTCAAGCAATGGCAAAGCTGCATTTGCAAAGTTGCATTTCCAGTGCCTTATCTTCTTTTAACTCTTTGGATGCGAAAAGCAGAGAAATCTCGGTTTTAGTTATTTTTTTGACTTTGGGATATCATAAGTGTTTCCGTTTTGATCCAAATAGATCAAAATGATACGTTTTTCATCGAATTTTTAAAAGATACTTTTATTTTTAGCTTAGTATAAATTGTGATACATTTTTATTCACAAGTCGAGGGTAACTCTTCCCATCTTAAAACGTTTATGATCTTGTGGCCACACATTAAGTTTGTTTCCTTTCATTGAACATACCACCTTTAATCTGCATATGGTATCACTGTTAGCTACAGAAAACTATCCTGTTCCCGTATTCCAGGATTTAGTCCGAAATAGTCCGAATTCGTTTCCTTTCACACATTTTTCATATATTTTGCGAACAATTTCTCACTAAATCATGGAACGCGGGAACAGGCTAATATTGTCGTTCCTTTTCCTTTTTGATTTTGAAGCTGTCGGATGTGGTACTGGGCTAAAGACAGTGTCACACGATTTGTACCTTTGTACAGATTTGTATATTTTGGCAGTCACAGAGTCAAACTATAGTGCAAGCTGCAGTTGCAGTTGACTGTATTTGTCAAAAAAATTAAAAAGCGGCAGAAAAGTCGATAGTGAGTAATATAATTTCGGAAAAGATTCGGAAAAGTTATTAGGTATTATTCATAGTTTTGGAATATATTTTACGAAAGCAAAAAATAAAAATATCTGAGATCCCTTTCTTTTTTTAACACCTAGGATATCACTGACCATTAAAAAGGACCCTGAATGACCGCAAACCTCAAAGCTTTACACATTTTTGTATGTGATTTTTAAAATGAATGATCCAAAATTAGCCGGTATACATATTTAAACTTTTTTATAACCAGTGGTTGAATTTTTGTACTGAAAGGGTTAACCCTAAAAGTATAATCTACGTCTGCGTGTCGTATATGGAATGGGTCTGTTTTTAATTTTAACACCAAATTTACTTTTTATTTTGTTGTTTTAAATAAATGTGGTTATAGTTTTTATTAATAAAACTATGTTTTGTTAATAGTCAAACTCAAAACTTCAATATTCTTTAAAAAATAAGGCAGGACTAAGTATATTTTAGCTCACAGGTTATCTTTTAAGTACGTAAGCCTCTACGGCGTATGTTAAAGCTTTAGGTTACTCCCAAATAGATTAGGCTTCTAGGGTTAAGAAAGCTTTAGTTAGAAAGGTTGGACTATACCTCAAAGATGACGGTTTTCTCATGGCCCACTACACAAAGCTTAGAGTAGAGTAATGCCTTTTAAGAACTTAAAAATTATCCTCGGTTGTCAGGTGTCCAGCAATACAAGATTAATTGTTGTCTTTCACGAAGTTCTTTAAATAAATATTGAGCTAAGTACTCACCCGTATTTCGAGGTTACTACTAGTTTTAATAAATTGTTAGTTTAATTTCCTATACAATTTACCTTTAAATGCATAAACCTGCATTTTAAGAATACATCGAAAATTTGTTTTACAGAATCAATGTGAAATAATTGCAGAAACGATTAACCGGTTTGCTGAGCAACCGAGACGTCTGCTTTTTAAATAATTTTTGTAAAACTGTAACGTAGCATATCCGCGACGTACATATACACTACACCAAGTGAGCACTGCTAGCAGCACACCAGCAGCATGCCCGAATAACTCACCAACCACTTCGCTCACCACACCGCATAAATCGGGACGGCACACGACGAATTCTCAACAAGCATGCAGCGCAACAGGTATAAAAGGCTTAACAAGTGCGCAGTCAGGTCAGTCTTGCTAGGTGAGTAGCTGACTTGACTGGTCGATGAGCGGGTGGCGTGCTTGCGCGCAAATGTCTTGCCGGCCAGCCAAGCCAAGCTCGGCGTAACCAATCGGTCGATCAGCTGGTGTGCCTGCGGGCGCGCCAATGTGTCACCGATTGGCCAAGCCAAAACCAAGTACGACTCAACCCGCCGGCAGACCAGGATTGCCGTTGCCTCGCTGTTGCCGAGAGCCACCCGCCGTGCCGCTAGCGATCTCACCGTTGCTGCGCTACTCCCGAGAGGCAACCGCCGTGCTGCTAGCGCTCTCGCCATCATCCGCTCCGACCCGACCACAACGAACGTCACCTCTCTCTCGCTCTCCCTCTCTTTGGACATAAGGTTGCTAGCACTCTAGTCGTAGCGCCGTGTGTGTGTGTGTGTTCGAAGTAAATACACTAAAATAGTGTGTTTTATTTGGTGGGGGTTAGTGGGACCTTCGCCGGACTCTGGATCGGCTGAGTTCACCTCAGCCTTTGACAAAACCCACCTCATAAATGGCGCCCAGTCTCTCCAGAGACTGCTTATGCGACACCGCCAGCTCATCCGATGCTAATCCGCCCGCCAGAACGCGCAACTCAGCAACGGCACCGCTCCCCGCCGCTTCCGCTTATACGAATGTACAGCGCGGAAGAAGATTGGATGGCCGATTCTACGCCAACGTAGTGATCGAGGGCATGAGTGTGCGAGCACTGGTGGACACCGGCGCCACGGTCACGTATGTCGACAAAACCGTACGCAAGCACTTGGAGAAGAGTATGATCCGACCACGGCTCAGCCATCGCAACGTGCAACTCGCTGACCAAACGTGCATCTCAAGTTCGTATACGTACTCCGTTAATATCAAGTACAGCGGACGAGCAACGACGACGCTGGTCTCAGTGATCCCAAATCTCGCTGAACGCATAATTTTGGGAATGGAATTTCTCAGGAAAAGAGGGATCACCATCATGCTGGATGGCCAACAACTAGCCGCAGCCAACTTGCGGAAACCAGACACACCCGCCAAGTTGTGCGCGACAACTGAGAGAGAACACTTACGGGAAGAGCAGAAGCGAACCGAATTTTTGAGAAATCACCGAAAGCTCTCTGGCAGAATCATCAGGCCTAGCACCACCGCCGGCCGTATGAACACACCCAAGTGCAACCAGCCAGCGAAGCAATGGACCGGCCCCCGCAACACGACCGTAACGACCACCATTCAAAGCCACGCTGTGGTCTCCGAACAAGCCGCGTGTTCATCAGGCAGAATTACTAATCACCATCGAAAACTCACCAGAGGAGATGACGCAACCACCCGCAGCCAGCAGCCAACAAATAAC